TCTAGTTAGTGATAACAAAAATAAATAAGAAAATATTCATTTTTTTTATTTGAGTCTTGACTTCTTAATAATATATATAGTGGTAAATAAATAAAAAAATGGCAAATACTGCTTCTTAATATTTTTTTGTTGTTTTTATAATCTTGGAATCTTAATTATTTTTATTTTTTCAGGAATTAAACCAATATAAATCTGACACATGTCTCTTTTGAAAAAATAAAAAACAATGAAAATTCCAAATTAAAATCACATAGAAATCATTATTACAAAGTAGTCGTACATTTTGAAGTCATTGATGATGTCACTTCATCGCAAGCCGGCGAATGTCAGAGAGTTTTGTTTGTAATTCAAAACAGAAAAAGAAAAAGAAAATCGCATGTGAAGACAAATGAGTGATTATTTTTATATTTTAAAAGTATTTTTTTAATATATTTTTTATTTTTTAATTTAAATTATTTTTTATACTTACATATTATTTTAATTTTAATGTGTTTATAAGAAAAATATAAAAATATAAAAATATTATTTTAATATATTTTTAAATAAAAATTACTTTAAAAAACTTTCAAAAAATAATTATATTTATTATTACTAGTATCTAGAAAAAATGGTATGGAATTAACTGGTTAATTTTTATATATATATTTTTAAGGTTATTAATTTGAGTCTTATAAATTTTAAAGTTATAAAAAATTTATATTATTGTTAATTTTAAAATTTAAAAAATTAATTAAGATATATGTAAACTAATTCGAATATTTATATTAATAAAAAAGAATAAAATGACGTGGTCTATGCTCTTACATCTTTTGATTTTTAATAGAATTTTCCACGGTAGGTTGGTGAAATGTTGAGAACTTGGAATTGACTTTGCAAATAATTACGAGGGCTTCCTGCAAGCTTGTTGGAAGTTTATGGGTCCAGAAAAGCGTGTGTGAACATGGGGAGTAGGTGGACGAAACTTCAAAGAGTTTGAAATATACAACACACCCTCCTAACCAAAGCAGCATGTGGCGCCATTTCTTATAAATCCAAGGACGGCAGCGTTTTTACTGTTCATAAATTATTATAAATTGAAATAGTCGTATTCTTAAAATTTTCTAATTTGATATTTCAATGTTGAATTAATTCAGTATTAAGTTTCTTTAATTTGTTTCCATCCTAGTATTAGATGGAAATATCATTCAATTTATGCCTATAATCTATTTTTTAAATTTTTTTATCAATATTTAAATATATTTGATCTTTTTTATTATGAGCTAGTAATTAATTATTATATATCATCGATTGATTGAGAGGTGACATAATCTAATATCAAATATGTTTAGGGTAAGATTGATGAAATCAAAAGTTTGGATGCTAATCTTGATAATAAATAATACATTAGGGATTAAATTGAGGTTTTTTTCCTAAACCTTTTATATTCTTTTGACTTTTTCTCATTTTGTTTTTACAATATTTTTATTTTATGTTCACATATGTTAAGAATATAAAACAATATACAGAACTATTCTTGGAAGAACTAGTCAAGACACCTCGACCATTCCAAAATCCAACAATGTGTAAGGGGTCCACTCTCCCTTGTTGACAGCTCCTCAAAGGACCTCTCTCTTCTCTTACAAGAAGGATCCTATAAATCTCAAGTTTCTGGATCCAAAACTCTGTGCATCCCCTTCAGAGAAACCAGAACCTCATCGGGGGAAACAGTTTCAGTACTTTGTGCTATTTTGGTGCGCCATAGCCAAGCACTGAGAACTTGCTTGTCCTTGAAAGAAGGAAAGAAAAAGGGCTCATAATTTCTCTATAGTCATATCTCATCATCCCTGCTTCTTCAAGTACCAAGCAAACAATCATGGATAAATCCTTAACAACAACTTTGTTGTTTTCTTGCTTTCTGTTGATATCCTTGTCTGTCTCATCTTTAGCTCAAAGTTGCGGTGGCTACTCTTTCTCTGAGAACCAAGTATACAGCACCTGTGTTGACCTTTCTCAATTGAGCTGTTCTCTTCACTGGAACTACCACACATCAAACACGACAGCTGATATTGCATTTCGCAAAATTGGAGCATCAACATCTAATTGGATTGCATGGGCTCTAAATCCCACTAGGCAAGGAATGGACGGTTCACAGGCTCTTGTAGCTTACCAACAATCCAATGGCACGATGCGTACTTACACAACCCAAGTAGATGTATCCGGAAATGTGCAACCTGCTAACTTAAGTTTTCGGGTTCACAGTATTCGTGCAGAGTACGCAGGAGGGGATATGATAATTTTTGCAACACTTCAGCTTTCTGATAGCTTGGTGTCAACCAACCAAGTTTGGCAAGAAGGTCCTGTGACTGGAGATAATCCTGGTCCACATCCTCTCACTGGACAGAACAGGCAATCAGTGGGGACTGTGGATTTTGTTTCTGGATCAGTAACTTCAACTGGAGGAACTACTACCCCAAAAGACCGCAAGAGAAATGTAAGTGGATGGTCAATTAATTATGCAGTATTTATGCGTATAGGATGCTTGCTAGACATGAATTCAGCTTAAATCATTGTTCTAAAGGTGATTGAAATTGATTTTTTCAGGTTCATGGAGTGTTAAACGCAGTGAGTTGGGGAATCCTTATGCCCGTGGGAATCATTATAGCTAGGTACCTTAAGGTGTTCAAGTCAGCAGGCCCAGCATGGTTTTACCTGCATGCTATTTGCCAAACTTCTGGCTATGCAGTTGGGGTTGCTGGATGGGCAACTGGTATTAAACTGGGCAGCGATAGTCCTGGAATCACCTACAACACCCATAGAAAGCTTGGCATAACCATCTTTGCCCTTGGAACCCTTCAGGTATTTCCACTTGTTATTTACCTAAACAGCAATTAATTGGGTTTTGATTGTTAGTTGGTGATTCTTTTTCATATTTGTTGAAGAAAGTATTCATTTTTAAGAATATTATTGCCTTGAGTAATATATTCAAAAGCCCAGAAAACTTTTGATTTCGAAACAGTAGTTAAAATGTCACCACACACTTCTTCATTGACTTCGAATAAAAGAGACCTCAAAAACCATTAAAAACCCTTGTGTTTTTTTGCTGCCATGGGGTTCTTAGATTTCTTTCCACATCAAAAGATGCCTAAGGAAAGTCTTTAATGCCTGAAAAGTCAGCATTTGTGTCCCGTTGAATCTTGATTTTGTTTTCGAGCACACGCAATTCTTTTAATGTGGGATCTTTCCAAGTCATCAACTGCGGGCGGCATCTAGAAGGGAACCTGTTTGCAAGTTCTTTCTTCCCTTCATCGTCACTCGAGCCGTCCAGCCTCGCAGTCTTTTCGAAAGACAAAAAACTGAACCGAAAAAGATTAATTTTTTCTAGCTCTCTCCTCTACCACAAAAACTGATGTGATCTCTACACAAGGAATGTGAAAAGTCTTCTAACAAATAATGCACTGCCCTGTTTGCAGGTGTTAGCCTTGCTCTTGAGGCCCAAGCCAGACCACAAATACAGACTGTATTGGAACATATACCACCACACCATTGGATATACTACCGTGATTCTGAGCATTGTTAACATCTTTGAGGGATTTGAAGCTTTGGACCGCGAGAAGAACTGGAAAAAGGCTTATATTGGTGTTCTCATATTTCTTGGATCTGTTGCTGTTGTATTGGAAGCAGTTACTTGGTTGATAGTCATCAAGAGAAAGAAAACAGCAAGTTCTGATAAGCATGTTAATGGAGTTAATGGATATGGTTCCAGGGTACAGCAGACTGCGTAGCTGATGATTTAGCATTTATAGGCTCTGTGTTGTATGTTATACACATAGTTAGATGTCCATTAGTGAGCTTTTCTTCTTATTTTATTCTTTTGGCATTTTGTTATACGATGATTGATGCTAGTTGTTTTCGATCTCACATATATATATATATAGATATATATGCTTGTACTTCTTTTATTTGGTCGTGTTTTACAACTATAATAGTCTTACTGTTAGTCTTTTTTTGAGAAATACTTGAATTATTTGTATACCTAGGTTGCCTCAACTCATTATCAAACTTATCACAGATCCGAAAACACACACAATTTACTTTTGTGTGCGTGTTTTTGTAGTAGAGAAACATTTAAAAAAAATATTACCTTAAATTAATTTTTTAAAATATTTTTAAACAAAAACAACAATTGATATGCTGGGCTTTGTAGGTAATATCTGTACAGGGAATATAGAATTAGTAGGCCTAGTCATGGGCCCTAAAACGAAGTCCACCATGGCCGAATAGCAAGTGAATGAATTGTAAGAGCATCTCTTTTTAGAGGGCCTCCTCCAGAGGAGCTCTAGATGCCATTTGTCATTCTCTGGGTAATGCAATGGAAAATCTGGCTATGATCGGGGCACTAGCATGCCGGCATATAAGAAAGTTTCAAACAAAATTTGAAGCACAAGGTCGAAAGCTGTGAAAAAACAAATTTTGTTTTGAAAAATGCCGTAAAACTTATTTCTGAAAATCATTTAGTTATTGAAAAACATCATCTGTACAAGTCATATAAAAATGGTATTCTAAGATTGAATCGGTTATGAGCAATATATCTCCATTGGTATCTTGTATTATCCCTTCAATGGGGCTCGGTGTTCGAGCCTTTACGTTAATTTTATTTTTAAGCCAAAATATATTTTTAAAATGTATTTAAATACAATTTTAAATGCAAAAATAAACGGTGATTAAACGAAGTTATGTGTCCCATTGAAATGCATTATCACTCTTGAAGAAAGTAGAATGAAACAAAGGGATTGCTTGGGAAAAAATGCATGAGACCTTATTTTTCAGGCAATTGTTGTTTCCTTGGGAAAGCAAAACTAACACGTACAATTTGACAAGAACATGATAAAAACAGCAAGAAGCCAGTAAGCTCAATATAACTTCATGCATCCAAATGCAGACCAAGGCATTTGCTACAATCTTTTCATGGTACTTAAACGAGGGGAAGAAACAGAGCAATAGCACCTGAAATGCAGTATGACTTGAGGAGCAATACTTGGAATACGTTTTATATCTAAACAGAACCAACGTATATCGATATGAAATAGGAAAACTCTTGTACAATTTCAAGCAGATATAACAAAGACCATAGATAAACATAAACTAGATTCTAAACAGTTTTCAAATGCAAAAACTGTTGTAAATCAAAGGGAAATTTAAGATTCAACCTCGCAATCATGTGCATCTGTGCATGAACGATCATTGATTTCTAGAGTAGCAATCTCTTTGATGACTTGAGCTTTGTCAGCTTCAAATTGTTCATCCCCTGAAATTAATAAAGCAGAATATCATTAGCAATCTAGTATAAAAGCAACGAGGGCTACAATCTCAAGAATTTCACTGTCTAATTATATCATTTTTACCTTTATCAATGCAGAAGTCGCCTAGAAACCTAAGAAGCTTGCTTCTATTTGTAACCAGTACACTGATGATCTCAGGAGGTTTATTTTGATTTGCTACAAATAACTACCAATTCAGGGAAAATAGAAGTTGATTAAAATTAGACAGATTAATAAAAGAAGAAAAATACCCAAATATCTTACTACACTACCTACCTTGAACACATGAAAGGTTTCCAGCCGCATTGTCTTCTTTGGATCCTGAAATGGATGAACCAAAATTTATAGTGGAATACAAGTACAAAAGATTTTTATAAGAACACATGGAAATGCTGTGAGCAAATATGGTAAATCAGAGAGAGAGAGAGAGAGACCCTGAAAAGATTCATCAAGATCCTCATGTTGTCCAATGAACTCACATACCGAACCATCACAGCAGAATTTGAGCGGTCAAGTAGCATGTTTCCCAACAGCTGAAGCAGATTATATGCTGTCAGAAAATATATTATATTCTATTTCTCCTTAACAAATATCTCTGATTTTTTGAGAGAAGAAATAAAGCAAAACCCTTCAGAGAAAAGAAAAATTGATAAAGGAGTTCCCTACTTTCACTTTATTTTACCTTTTTGTGCTTGCAGTTGCACTTATTAATTCCCAGTAATGAGATTTAGGCATTTACAACTTTTAACATTTTTATAGTAATGAGATTTAGGCATTTACAACTTTTAACATTTTTACAGAAAAAGGATGATTTTATCAAATGAAAAACTACAATAAATAATGCTAGGAGTAGATTGTTCCTGTGAAATTTATATTACCTTGACAGCATACCGTCTGGTTATGTAACTGGGAGACTCAAGCAATTGTGAATTGTATTCTTGGAAAAACTGGAACAAGGGAAAATTTTGGAGGCACATTAGATATTGGTAGTAATTCAAAAATGGAAAGAAAAATGTAAGAAAGCAACTAAGCATCAAAGTTATTCCCCTATTGTTTAGTGTTGATATATTTAATCACACCATCAACATGGAGATGTACCAATATCACAGAATAATTATCACCACCAAGTGACATCCATGCCAACAACAATGGTCTTATTCTACAGATTGATACCACGTCAAACAGGTATTTTGCAAGTATAAATTATAACAATGCCTATAGTTGTTGTTAATGCTCGCGGTTGTGAGTAATCAGCAGCCTCTTTTTCACAGTTTCATCCTTTTTCAGATGAGTGAACTTAAGAAGCTCATCTACATAACTCAATCAGTTGAACTTTTAATTGTAGAATGGTGATCTTTGATCCACAAATAAATAGTAAACAATTTTACGGATGCTATTGATGAAGTTCCATTGATCCTAGCAACAATAGTATACCGATAATTTTCAGCACAATGAAATCTTTGTAACAAAAACATTACGAACACAGACAGTGGCAAAAGGGATACTCTGAGTCTCAACTTTCTGATCATTTATTTTCATATGATTTTCCGTTAAAAAAATTGTTTTACAAATTATTACTCTATTTACTATAGGGATGAATGATAGAACTACAACAACTGCCAAGTCCAATGCATCATGCACAGTCTGTTCTTGGCAGTCAGCAGCCTCCTTTTTACGATGCCATCCATATCATATGGAAATCTTAAAAAGCTCTTGCTGACTAACTCAATCAGTTAAAATTTTAGCTGGCTCCATTATTGTTGAAGGGATATCTTTCTAATCCAGAGGAAAAAAAATAAAATAAAAATTAACAAGCTTACATCAGTTGTTAATGAAGTTCCTCTAATCCTAGGAACAATATTGTTTAAAAAGATCATTATTATGGACATGCAAGGGATGAATGATGATAATGATGATATATCTCTAGCATCTACCTCCAGTTCAATGCCTTAAATAATGCTGTTGATTCTAAAGATAAAACTAGCTTACAGTCAGCTGTATTGCATCATCCACTATTCATGTTCTTGGAGTAAACATTACGAGTTGCTGTAATATATGGAAGTGGGTAAAACCATGCAGGACTAGAAGGCAGATACTGATGACACCACTTACCCAGTCATAATTTACAGAAAGAAATTCGGCAACAGTTGATTTATGCCTCGTCAGGAGCTCCTGTATAAATGTGGCAGTGGGTCAGTAAAAATACTCTTCTAAAATTAGAAACATAAAGCGAAGGATGACATGGATACAAGAAGGATAACTTTAGAATTCATGTATATCATAATAGTACCAAAAGCACAAGCTCCATGCACAACATTAGGAAAACATAACGATATATCAATGATAGCACTGGCATACTATATCTTAATTAGAGTGTGCATTGTAGATAAAGAAGTTATTGTGTACGTCTAGAGATCCAAACACAAACTATTCTGGTTAAACCTGACAAGGCCATAGGATGGTGGATAGATAAATGGTAGGAGATTTGCGCTAGAAGCATGAACCCAACCCCACAGGAAGAAGCTAGTGAAGACAGTACTAAAACAATGAAGAAACATTGATTATTATGGAGATCTAAGGTTTTTTTTTTTTTTTGCCTACTTTAGGTCTCAATCAACAACTGTAGAAATCATGTTCCTGAAACAAACTTATCCTGAAGTTGCCAATCCTGCAAATTTATCTTCTACGTGAATACTATTTTGGTAAGAGCTGTAGCAGCAAAGGCTTCCAAGAAGGATTAACAAATATGCATTACTGGATCAAATGTCACAACAAATAGGTAGTTTCTTAAGCCTATGAAGAATTCAAGCAGAAGTGGTGTGCCTGCAGGATACGCACATCAATTTTAGATGCAAGAACATAAATAATAAAATGATATACTAAACATACTTAACTTTACAAGTTGCCTGAGCATCAGACGCTATGTCAAAATTTGGAATCTGTACATAAGTTAAAACTTTCTTCAGGTGCTCTGTTTCCAATACATACCTGAGAAATCAATAAAGGTTATTAAGATCTATCACGTTATTTGTGCTAATGCAGAAAACCATTTTAGACTATTCTGAAGCCAGCTTGGTTTGGCTATATACACAATAAAAACGAAAAAAGAAAATCCAACCTTGGCTTTCACCTATGATATCTTAAATTTATTTCACTTTCTCTATTTGACGGAGACGCCCAAAATGCATAGCATAATCTTTTGGTACAAGTTTTCCAACTGGTAAAACATATATGCTGTAAGAAAAGCTAGTGATTAATTACCTCCTAGGTTCTGCAACGCCTACTGTTGGATGTTGGAGACATTGCATATCTTCATGAGCTTTCTTAACCAAGTTTTTTATATGCATGATTGTAAGACAAAACCACATACTAATTACTAGTTTGAATTTTAATCCAAACGATAATATGCGTTTAGGAGGGCCAAGTATGCCTAGAACTCAGAAATTCGCAGTCATACTTTATAAAATAATCAACAACAAGACTAGCACTCAAGTTCTCTACAGCAAAGAATTAATCCTGCGTTCATTTCAACTATAAACCCTCCACCATTGTCCCCGAATACACTGATCAGGAACAAAATCTGAACCTTAGGCAGTAAACACACGGTTAATGATCATTGATTAACAATTGCTGATATGCTTTTACGGAGTCAAAGAAGCAAGTCCCAGATCATATAAAGCTGAGTAATGATTACCTTGCCACAATCTGATGGCGTATGCACTCCCTCAAAATTGCACCATATGTTATAGCAATCTCACCGTCTTCATAACTAACCATATTACCAGGAAATTAGAAAGAAAAATAAATCTGAAATCTGACTTCTTGACAGCAAAAACTCATTTTATTTACTAACCCAGGCAGCAGAATATCCATAAGGTCTAAATTATTTTCCAGATACTCGGAAGCAATCAAGCGCCCGCTAACTCGTTGCCTCTGCAAATTTGCTATAACATGAGTAGCATTTTGACGTGCCTGAGATCAAAAAAGGGTGGGCAAGATGTCATGAAAATCAAAAAATAAAAATAAAATTGAATCATAAAAAAAGAAAGCATAAATTTGGTTGATGGGGTGGGTTACCCCCAAGTCGAGTTTTGGGAGAGAGAGAATGAGAAGGCGGAAAGTGTCATGCTTAAAGAAGTCCTGAGCCAAATGTGCACAAGCATCAGGATTCGGCTCTGCTTTTCCATTCCCAAATAAAACTACCCTTATCTCCAGAATTACTTTACTCAGCTCAGACATCTGCAATTAATATCCCATGCATTACATATACTTGCAATAAATCAATATAGAAAACATCTGTTGCTTATATAAACGGACGCACCTTTTCCTCGCGTTTGCGTTCGCGAGTCTCGGTATTCTGGTCGAGAAACTTGAGAAGGTCCCGTGCTTGGAGCACAAGCTCCGCAGGCGTCCGGGGTTTTGGCTTGAAAAGTCCCTTCATGGCTCGGTACACATTCAGCTACAATATTGCAGAAATCAAGTTTTTATTATTATGGATGTAGAGTAATTATAGGATTTCCTGTATTTGATGATGACGATGATGATCAGGGTTCCAAGAGGAGAAGAAATTGGGATGAGGATAGATGTGTGTGTGTATATATATATATAGGTTTTCTTTGGTTGCTAAACTCCAGAAGGGCTGCTTTGTTATTTTAAGAATGTCAGAGGACAATTCTCTCCTTGCAGCAATATATTTACTTGAGCAAGTTTTGTTTTTGTGTTTTTTTTAAATGATTTATTATTTTATTTAAAATTAATTTTTTTTAGTATTGTTAAATGATTTTAATATATCAAAATATTTATTTAAAAATTAAAATTTTATTTTAATATATTTTTAAATAAAAAATATTTTGAAAAATCGCTGCTGCCATATTATCAAATATTTTTTTTAAATTTAAAGATAAAAAATAATAAAATAATAACAAAAAAAAAGAATGAAGAATAGAAAATAAAGTTGCAAATACGCAGAACACATATTATTGTATTTATTAAGAATACGTTTTATATTATATAATATAATAGTTACTTGGCTACAATAGAAAATAGAAAATAGAAAATAGTTGATTTAACATAAATTCCTATTAAGAAGGATATTAAATAGAAAAAGTCGGATCACGTCACACCCCACCTCATGGCTCGACAACCATTAATCTTGGTTCGAATATTAGCCAAATGTTCTATAATTTTCATGGACTCATATATATGAAATTTTTACAAGGTAGTTCAATTATGTTGTCTTCCACGATGATATTGATGGTTGATGTATTATTGTAATATAATTTTATAGCTACTCCAGGAGGATAATCAAGCTAAGTAAAAATAAGTCATGCATTAAGGGGTTTGCTTCTAGAGGTCTCAAGTTCGAGTCTTTCGTTACTGATATGATGATTACTGGAGGCTTACATGGTCGTTAACTTCAGGGCCCATGAGATTAGTCGTGGTGCGCGTAAGCTGACCCGGACACCCACATTAATCTAAAAAAAAATAAAAAAAATAAGCCATGCATGATTTTTCTTTGTTATCATACAACTTACATGCAAATATAACTTTTATGTTAAAATTGTTTTTTTATGTGATATTAAATTTTTGATAATTATATAATTATGAGTTTGAATTTTATTATTTTTATTTATTTAATAAAAATTAAGTATAAAATAGTATGAATTTATATAATATTTAAGTTGAAAACTTTTTTACTTAAATAAATATATTAAAAAATAATATAAATTATATCTTAAAATATTAAATGATAACCATCATCTATATTTAATGGATCTCATCCCGCACAAGGAGACATCATCAATAATGGCATATTGGACAACAATAATCCAAGGGTCGATTACGAAGGAAGGCAACATATCAGCAGCCTAAAACCGCAATGAGAGACGGCGCCGATCAATGTGTAGTCAAATAATACAGCAAAATGCAGCGGCAACAATTACAAATCAGGATCATTTTGCTAGACTATACCAATCTTGCAATATGGTAAAAAAATAATGCAGCAAACAGAACAATCAGCGAAAGCCACACCAGATACACTTATACAACTTTGAATCATCAACAACCTGCAATATAGAAATATAAGTGACAGGTAACTTTGTTTAAGGTGCTCCTACCTAGAAGAAGTTCTCTCGACTGGATGATCCTCTTGGCCTCCAGCAATAAAAATGATAAAAGATCTTCGTATTCAAGTGGCAACTATTTTTCTGAAGGATAAACAAGCAAGACCTAGGGCTTAAGAATGGATATTCTATATGTGATTGATCTTGACAACCAAGTGCACCTTGCAACATCTCAGAAACTTCGGACTTTCTGGGACCGTATTGCCTCTAAAACGCCTGAAGATCTCAATTAGAATGAAGACCAATTACCACCATGCACTCAATTAGCCTTGATGGCTCTTTTAAAAGGCCTAATCGCCCATCTTGAGAAGCACTTAATATTGGGCCAATCCAACAAACACCCCTTGCCAACGTGCCCTTGAAGAGTCTTGCAACAAACCACATGGGTGGCCATGGCTGGGACACACACAAAGGAACTTCGGTTGCTGTTAAAAACAAAACAAAGAGGAAGGATGTCTGAATATGATAATACGATGAGATGAGTGGTTAAAAATATATTAAAATAATATTTTTAGGCTGGATCGACAACCATCAACCTTGGTTCGAATATTAGCCAAATGTTCTATAATTTTCACGGACTCATGTATATGAAATTTCTACAAGGTTAGTTCAATTATGTTGTCTTCCACGATGATATTAATAGCTGATGTATTATTGTAATATAATTTTATAGCTACTCAAGGAGGATAACCAAGCTAAGTAAAAATAAGCCATGCATGATTTTCCTTTGTTATCATACAACTTACACGCAAATATAGCTTTTATGTTAAAATTGTTTTTTTGATGTGATATTAAATTTTTAATAATTATATGGTTATGAGTTTGAATTTTATTATTTTTATTTATTTAATAAAAATTAAGTATAAAATATAATGAATTTATATAATATTTAAGTTAACTTAAATAAATATATTAAAAAATAATATAAATTATATATTGAAATATTAAATAGTAACCATCATCTATGTTTAATCGATCTCATCCCGCACAAGGAGACATCAATAATGGCATTTGGACAACAATAATCCAAGGGTCGATTGCGAAGGAAGGCAACATATTAGCAGCCTAAAACCGCAATGAGAGACGGCGCCGATCAATGTGTAGTCAAATAATACAGCAAAATGCAGCGGCAACAATTACAAATCAGGATCATTTTGCTAGACTATACCAATCTTGCAATATGGTAAAAAAATAATGCAGCAAACAGAACAATCAGCGAAAGCCACACCAGATACACTTATACAACTTTGAATCATCAACAACCTGCAATATAGAAATATAAGTGACAGGTAACTTTGTTTAAGGTGCTCCTACCTAGAAGAAGTTCTCTCGACTGGATGATCCTCTTGGCCTCCAGCAATAAAAATGATAAAAGATCTTCGTATTCAAGTGGCAACTATTTTTCTGAAGGATAAACAAGCAAGACCTAGGGCTTAAGAATGGATATTCTATATGTGATTGATCTTGACAACCAAGTGCACCTTGCAACATCTCAGAAACTTCGGACTTTCTGGGACCGTATTGCCTCTAAAACGCCTGAAGATCTCAATTAGAATGAAGACCAATTACCACCATGCACTCAATTAGCCTTGATGGCTCTTTTAAAAGGTCTAATCGCCCATCTTCAGAAGCACTTAATATTGGGCCAATCCAACGAACCACATGGGTGGCCATGGCTGGGACAAACAAGAAAGAAACTTTGGCGCACCGAGCATCTTGGCCTAGCGTGGAAGGGGTTTGTCTCCTTCCACTGTACCTGAATTCGAGTCTTCATATGCACGTCTGTCACCCTCGTAGTGCCTTAAATGCCTATTGAGTTTGCAGGGTGTTCAGTGAGCCGTGAGATTAGTTGTGGTACGCGCAAGCTGACCCAGATACCTACATAAAAAAAAAATGGAACTTCAGCAGCTGTTTTCTAGCCACACACACAAAGAAACTTTAGTTGCTGTTAAAAACAAAACAAGAGGAAGGATGTCTGAATATGATAATAGGATGAGTAGTGGTTTAAAGTATTTTTTTCAAAAAACACGATTGTACACATCTAAAAATATAATAACAACTTGCTATGATATAATGTTAAATTTAGAAATAACAAAGAATTAAAAATATAAAATACAATTGCAACTACACAGCTTAATTTACATATTATTTTTGTGTTTATTTCTTGGCTCAAGAAGACCGCTTGTATAGTTACAATATAGTAGTTGCTTAGTTACATTGAAAAACTCAATAAGAAATAGTTAATTCAACATCAATTTCTATTTTACAAGGGAACTAAATTAGAAAACTCAACTTACGCTAACGTGTACTATTCCTACTAGCCTGTTTTAATAGTAAAAGTTTTCTAATAATTATCATTATACAGTAATAATTAATTAATTTAATTATTTTATAGCTATACATGGTAATTAATTAAGTGATCACCAAATATTAACTATCTTACTTATTTATAGTAAAATCTTTCATGCATCTTTGTATTTTAACTGGTTCATCCCTAATCACATCCTCCTTAATGAGAATAAATGGTTACGTATAAGTATTATATGCATAATAAGTTTTCAGCCTAATTCATGTTGGAAAATTTGTTTAAAAATATGATTAATAGATATATTTAAGGTTAAATTAAAAATCAGATCTACTTATTTTTTGAATTAAAATTTTGTAAAAATTTAATCTCCAATATATGCTTTTTAATATTAAACATTAATATGATTGAAATAAATTATCAAATCAATGAATGAGAAATTAATATCAAAGAATCTTTAGTTAATATATTTTGATGAAATCTAAAACTCTTTAAAAGAACTTTACCCCCACACTAAAAAGAAACAAAACTATTTAATTGTTTATAAAGTAGTTGAAAAGTTAAAATTAAATTCAAAGGATATCCAAACATTTAGACGGAAGAGATATTAAGTAAAATGAGTTTAAGATTTAAATTCACACACATGCTCACCGACTTGACTCATGCTCTAGCTTATAACTAGGCTTTAACATGAGTTTAAGTTCATTATAAAACAATATTTTGGGTCATAAAAGATTATTTTTGGCTAATTGAAATTCAAACTTGAGCCTTGTCCACAAAAAAATATTTTTTTCAACCAATTGATTTGTCCAGTTCATTGAAGAAAAAATATGATCAGTTTTTCTAGAACTCTTTCAAGAGTACATGAATAAATTTATCAACTCAAAAGTCAAATGATTTAAATACAAAAATATTCATGTTTAATACTGATTTTATGGCGGGTAATCAAAGTTGTTACCGGAGAAAGTCCACTAGCTTTTGGTGCTAAAATTCTCTATAAAAAAGGCTAAAATTTAGGATTGATTAGTTCTACATTATTTTGACAGAATTTGATGCTTTTCTTTACCTAATTTTCTAGCATTGCTATTTTGTTTTTAAACATTTGTTTCCTTTTTAAACTCTCTCGTTATCTAGAGCTTAAGTTCATTATTTATAAATGGATCATTGAGTA